TATATAAAATTAATAATTTTTCCATCTGATTATGGCCATATACTTGAGTTTTCTGCAGCTACAAATTTTATTACAAACCCTTCATGGGCTTTCTTTAGTTCAAGATTATTTAGAGGTCTATATAAATTCCAGATTCTGAGTTACTAACAATGGCTTGGATTTGTTTTTTCCACTTAAGTTGTTGTTATTGTTGTATGCTGTCGAGGCAGAACCGAACGATAGCTGGACCCTCCGTTGGGTTTTCAGAGACAGTAAAATCACACAAGAGGAGATTGCTCATCCTTCTGCCACAGAACAGCGGGAGGATTTGAACTGCATGCCTCTGAGATTATAGCACAACTTCTCTCCACTAAGCCACCAGAGCTCCCTCATTATTGGGAAAAACATAGTTTTAAAAATTGGCTTACTATGTTTAAGTTTTGATTTTTTTACACTTAATGTATATATGACTCAAATAATTTAAAAGACAAATATTTGTCCTTTAAAAAATAATGTTTATGTTTAAATAGAACTTTAAATAGCTTCTAAGAAAATAGAGCAGCCCAGAGAACAAACAGATCTGTTCTGGAGAAGGTGAGAGGCCAGGCTGCTCTGTGGAGGCAAGGACTTTGAAACTCTCTCTTACATATTTGGAGCACATGGACAGGAGGGGACTGGTCCTTGGAGAGGGACATCATGCTTGGGAGGTTGTAGGGATAGCACAGAAGAGGAAGACCCTGCATGAGATGGAATGACAACAGTAACTCAGGGGCAGGTGGCACATGTGTCGGAGATGGTGAGAGTGGCTCAGGATAAAGCGGGATTGAGAGCTGTTGTACATAGGGTCACCGTGAGTCACAGGTGACTCAATGGCACAGAGCAACAACAATAACAAACAAAATATGTTTACTGTTCATAATCTTCTAAGGGACTATTTTTACAAAACTATTTCTGTTGTTATTTTTCCCAATTATAGGAAATTGGATCGACTTGAGAAGAAAAAGAAGAAAAGGAAAAAAGATAGAAAAAAGAAAAGGCTTCAGAAGAGCAAAAGTAAACACAAAAAACATAAAAACAAATCGTCCTCATCTTCCTCTTCCTCCTCCTCTTCATCATCATCGTCCTCTTCCTCCTCTTCCTCTTCCAGTGAGACCTCAGAGAGCAGCAGTGAGAGTGAGAGAGACAACAAAGGAAAAAAAACACTTAAGAAGAAGAGAAAGAAAAGTAAGGGTTCCCGCTATAATAGGAGTGATTTTCAAGAGAAAGACAAGTGTAAGAAGAAAAAGCTTGAAGAAGACCCTTCTAGTAGTCACAGTAACAAGGAAAAAGATAGGGAACTGCCTGAGTTTTTAAAACAAGAGAATTCTGGGAAGAATAACAAATGGAGCCATTCTGATTCTGACAGAAGTTCCAAAAGCCGTAACTACAGCCCAAACAAGAGAGGGTCTGAAAGAAAGAAGAGGAACAGCAGAAGCCGAAGCAGGGATGAGAGGAGTAGAAGCCGAAGCCGAAGTCATGGAAGGCATAAGCAAACTGGAAAATGGACACAGCGAAGCCCCAGGGAAGAGCACAGCAGAAGCAATGGCACCAGGAGTCACAGCACAGACACATACAGAGGAGACCGAGTGCACAGGGTGAGCTCAGGAGAAAAGCGTACTAAAGTGACCCAGGGAGAGCGAAGCCCAAGTAGAGAGGAAAGAAAGACTATGTATGAGAGCACCTGAAAATTAAACTATTTCCACTTCTTGGATACCTTTCTGTAAGGGCTAACTTCTGTTGTCTTTCTAATCAAAAAGCTCTCTTCATTTCCCATCTCTATAAACAGCCATACCATAAGAATGAATTTTGCCAGTATTTGTAAATAATCTTTCTTGGGACTATGGAAGTGCTTTATGTTGGTAAATGTTTTTGTGCCCTTTACTATATAAAAACCCCAGATAACCATTTGATATTTTATTCGTTCTGAAATATCAAAAGAATGATAGTACATACACTTGTTACAACTTTTTTTAATTCATATTTGTTATTTTAAGGTGTTAATTTGCTGAAGTAAAGTGTAATCACTGAAATCCACTAATGTGAGTTAAACAAAGAATTGATCAATATTCCTTTAAAATACTCAGACTCTCTTCAGATGTTTCAATTCTCTTTTCACCCTAACAAATAACCTCAAACTTAGTGACTTAAAAAAACTTAAGTTTCCAGTCTTAGAGTTCTTAAAATTAAAAAGTCTGGAACTTACCTTACTGGGCTAAAATCTAGGGAATTCTGGGTGGTGCACTTTGGAGCAGGTTGTGCTGCTAGCCCAATGGCCAGACATCTCTAGCAGTTCAAATCCATCATTGGCTCCACAGGAAAGAGATAGGTGGTCTCTTCTCATTTGATTTACAGACTCAGAAACCTGCTGCAGGGTCACTATGATTTGAAACCACCTTGAGTTTTGGGCTAAAATCTAGATGTTGGCAGGGCTATATTCCCTTAGGAGGGGCTTCAGGAGAGAATCTTGTTTCCTTACCTGTTCCAGCATCCAGAGCCTGCCTGCATTCTTTGGTTCCTGGCCCCCTGCCTCCATCTTCAAAGCTAACAAAGGAGAGTCAAGCCCACCTCACATCTCACTGACCCACAAGTTCTTTCATTAAGGAGATTGATTTATATGGTCAGTAGAAAATAACAAGATAAATTTCTCTCAAGATCAGCTAATTAAGTAACCTTAATTCCCTTTCACCATGTACTAGAATGATTTCCAGGGGTAAGAATGTGAACACTGAGGCACCACCATTAGTCTGCTTTACCATGGTTGACCTTTCCAGTGCTGGCACATAACTATTGAGACTTGACTTTTAGCATCAAACATTTATGTAGCACCACAAGGGGAACACTGCACACTCTTTGAATGTATGTCATGAGTGCACGTATGTAAGGCATATTTAAAGTTAACAGCAAATTTCTTTTTGAGTTTTAAAGGATATAGTATGGGGAAACTGTAGAAAACAATGTTTTACTACCAGTCATAAGTAACAAGCAATTCTAAGAAAAATCTATAGTTCACATAATGGACACAGCATTTTTGTTACTAGGATTCCACTTCTTAAAAACATGTTATTAAATACAGCAAATATTGATCAATTGGTTTTTAGGGTTGGGAAGTCACAATTTCATAAGTTCTGTTAAGAAAGCAAATAAATGTGTCAAAGGATGCAAGTGAAACCACACGGTGTGGTCTGTGTGCCTGTTCTTAGCAAGTGCCCCCTGATACATTAACTAAAGGCCTATGCAAGGTTTTCATTTAGGTTTTTCAGTCGGGCCAGGGGTGGCAGAGAAGAACCCTTGAATTCCTTCTGTAGCATTCTTTTAACTGCTCCTCAAAGATACCTTTCCTTAGGAGAAAAAAAAATATGTGAGGGGGGAGCATGCATGCATTTGACATTTACAGAGACTGCTGATTTACACCTGAAGTTCACCAGTATTATGGTGGCTATTTTCTACCGTGTGCCTTTTAGACTTTACAATTTTAATAATGTCAAAACCTATGCAATACTAACAGCCTTAAAAGGTTTTTGAACTAGTACCGTGTTCATGAGGAGAAATGCTGAAATGCATCCTGTAATTTAAAATGAATTAGAGAAATATCATTTCTCACCCATTTCTCTCATTTGAGTGTCTCAAGATTGTGGTCCACTTTTAACTTTCTTAATTTGGCTTTAAGATACTTTTTTTAAAAAAATCTGATTTAATTTTCTCTTGATGTTAAAGCTGAGGAATGATGAAGTAATCCTTGTAGTTATAAAAGATGTTGCTTTACTATTTGATTCTCAGTCTTGGTCACCCAGTATGCTAAACATCGGAAGATGAGAGCAGGCATCATTTTGAGTCTTAAGCAATGAAGGATTTCACACACATCCATGACAGGGTAAGAAGTAGATGTCAGCCGGCTTAACTTACTTGTTCTGCATACCCTCTCCCTATAATGATTTTTTTTTTCTTTTTTTTTTTCCCCCTATAATGATTTGAGCAAAAGGACTTGGAGGTGATTTTAGTTCTAAAAATATTACAAATATTAATGTCTCTGTGTGGTCATTCTCTTAAGGACTGAAAGCCAAGTAAGAGTCCGCCAAACTTTAAGGAATCAAAAATGCAAGGACCCCAAGAAGCCTTCCACGGAGACAGTATTTAGAAAGCAGATTTTTCATCTTTAGAGACAAATTTATCTTACTTTTAGAGAAAGTAATTTAAAGTAATCCAGACATACCTAGTGACAATTGTAACTAGCCCACAGGCCTAGAAATGTACTGTGCAACAAAAAATATTTTACACACCCCCTTTCCCCCCCTTAGCTTAATGTTTTACATAATTTAACACTAGCAAATTAATTCCTGTAGGAGGTGCTGTCGATTTACAAATGGCAGGAAAGATCAGGTTGCTAGGTTAGGACTTGTTTATTTATCTGAATGTCTACGTGATAAGCGAGCCCTAAACTTCATTTCGTAAATACAAGTATACCAAAACAGGCAGAGGTTGATGCGACCTGCCCGTCTTACCTGGCGAGGTGGAAAGCCAATCTTATTTTGCATCACAGCGTTGTAATCCGAAGAAAGGTTTTTGTCAGTCTGGGAGAGACCTTTCTTGCTGTTCTTTCATAAAACCGTTAGCTGCCAGCGAATCGGCTCAGTCCACGCTGCTGGGAGCCCGGTTTCCCAGTTTTAATCACCCAAATACTTGTCTGCCTTGGCACTGAAAGAAGCTCAAGGATTTCAGAATCCACCTGAGCTGCTTCATTCTCCTTACCTGTGGTCGGCTGGCGGGAAGGAGGCCGCATTCCCACAGCCTGCGCTCAGGGCCATGGAGAAAAGCAGTTCGCTTCAGTAGCTGAGAAATTCTCATAAGAAATCTTAGGTTTTCTGGAAAGGAAACCTTTGTTCTTGTTTCCGTTTCTTGGAAAGAGAGAAATGTACGAAATAGTGGCAGGCTTTTGGGGGTGTTCTCAGACCAAAAAGGCTAAATGATTTTTAATTGTGAGTCACAAATAAGACTTAAAGGAATGTTATGTCGGGAAATGTGTGGCAACTGACGACTGGCTCCCTGGACAGAGGGAGGCTCCTTAAAACCAGGTCCTGGCGACAGAAAAACAATCATTACCTTCCCTTCGCCTCCCCTCACAACAAGCCCCTCGGAATGTAGCAGCTACTAGTGATGAAGAGAAACGACCACGGGCTTGGGCGCCGCTTTCCGAGCCCCCTCACACAGAGATGGTGTGTGCGAGCTCGGTTATGACCAAAGCGGGGTTTCCGTGAACCTCGCTCCCCCTACACCCGAAAAGGAGGTGAAGTGGGGGTTACATCCCTGGTTGTCGCCCCTTCCCACGCCCCCCAGGCGACACCGCCCCTGCGTACTCTGGGGATGTCCTTATAGGCCGGCGTCTGGCAACCTTCTGAACACACTCAAATGGAAGGGCTAGGAATTAGAGGTTTCCTGTCTTTCCACTCACTTCTAAATTGTGATGAATGAGGCGAAATCTGGGTTAGCTCGCTGGATCATGTTTCTCCCCTGTGGCCCCAGTCCACCCCGAGGAAATCCCAGGGACGCCCCTTTAGGCTGTGGACAGCGGGAGCTGCCGCCTGGGGAGCGGTGCGCCCTGGCCGCCGCGCGCCCTCGCCGGCTAGTTCCCGCCTGGGCTTAGCAGGACCTCCCGCGCGTTTCTGCTGCGCGGGGCGGAAGGTAGACTAGTCTTCGGGAGTCATCAAAGCGAGCGAATCTGTTGTCGCTCAGGCTCCACAGGTGAAGGAGGCGCTTTTTTAAGCCAGTGCTAATCTCCCATTCCCAGGGCAAAAATGTCAACTCTCGCCACTAATCCGCAAGCAGAAAATGGACTGGGAGACACCCCTTGGGTACGTTTCTTTCATATATTACCCAGAAATTATCAGATGCCTGCAAAACAATGCAGATCTCCAAAGGAAGATGGTGCAAGGGTGTTGGAAAGCCTACAAACTTAGGTGCTTTGCTTTCCCGAGAAGAGGCCCTGGGAGACTAAGTCCCAGCGGACATTCTGAAATCTTCCCCTTAACTGGAGCTGCAAACACAGTATATAATTATATCAATAATATGGGGGAGGCATATCTGTATGTATTTACCTCATACATATTTCTATAAACTCCAGCGTCTGCAAAGGGTGGGGGGTAAATAGCACTGAACGGTTAAAATTATGGAGAAGGGATAATAACTGATTACTAATTTGAAAGTAAATAAACAGGTGACTTTTTCAGATCAAATTTCTCCTTGGATCGTTACAATAAATATCTCTGAAGGAAGCTCTCTATTTATGTTGTCATTGATTAATTCTTCACTACCTCATTTGATTTCGATTTAGAACGATTTGATTCTAATTTAATTAGCATGTAATTTGGATGTACATAATTACTGTAATTATGACATTCAGGTAAGGCAGCTTTAGGCTGAAAGGCAATTTCAAATTTTCTAGCAACCTACTTTGTACTGGGAAATGGACAAGGACTTTGCGCCCTGCTATCCAAGTAGTAATTAGCACATCTTTGAAATAGGCAGTGCGGTGGGGTTTGTATTAAAACAGCAAATACAAACCCAGCCGAGCTACCCGCCGCAAAGGTGTCTGCGAGTTCCGGAAACCGTGCAGTGCCTCCCAGGCGCGCGATGGAGACGCGGGTGCCCGGGCGCACGGGCCGCCTCCCAGGGCTGCTGCAGGAGACCGCACCTCCGCTGCCAGGAGCAGGGCGTTGGGAGGTGTAGCTTTTAAAATTAAAATACAACGCGCGCTGGGGGGTGGGCGGCGGGAGAGGAAGGGGAGGAAGTCTCACAACGACAGAGGACGGAAGGTGGGGGTGGGGTAATGGGCAAGCAAGTGGGAGCCAAGGGGCGACCGGGGGAGGGCGAAGCGCGCCTCGGAGGGAAAATTGGCCAACGCCCCCAACTGTTAGCCCGTTTTTTATTTGAGTGCGATGGGAACAAATCGCGCCTATTTGCTCCAGGAGGAAGTGCGTCTCTTAGGGAGGGTTGGAGTGAGGGTCTCAGATTCCTCGCTGCCCCCACCCCCACCCCAGACCTGCCCTTCCCAGGGGCTGCCAGCATCCGGATCGGTTAGGACCGCAAAGACAGTAACTGCCGCAGCTGCTCCCAGGTCGGCGAAAGCCGAGGTCCCCCTGTTCCCTCCCTCTCCACGATTTTGGGGTATGGGACGTCCGTCGCCTGCCCAGGCAGGATCTGGAAGAGTCCAAGCTGACCTCTGCCGGGGAGCCCTCGGACCCAGGGCTGTCGAGGGGAGGGCGCGGAAGGATGCACCCACGGCCAGGTCCCTATCCCGGGGTCTTCGCAGCCGGTGACAGCGCTCAGCATCCTCAACCCTGAATTGGAAGACCCTGAAGTTGTCTGGAGAGGGTTACCTTGTGCAACAACTCAAAGACTGGGAACAAGCGGGATGTTGTTAGTCCGTTTTCTTTGGAATTTCAGTTAGCACGTTCTAGAAACGACCCATTTGCATGAGTCACAGCGGCCACTGCTAGGCACACTTCCCGAACAGCGGGGCTCGATTCCCGCTGGAGAACCTCGCTTTCTTTGCAGGACTCTTGGGGTGACTGCAGGAGTCGGTGCCCAGAGTCGATAGCCCGAGCGGGGCCGGCAGCGCGCCTTCCCGGTCTCGGACTCTAGATGGCGCCAGCGAGCCGCGCTCGCCAGCCTCCTCAAGTGAATCAAGAGCGACTGTCACACATAAAAGCAAATCAGAGTTTTCAGTTTTTTTAATGTGTTAAGAATGTTATTCCTTAAGAAAATTTGTAGCTAAATTATTCTCACTTAAAATAAACACTTAGTATACCAATTACACAAATGGGCGGGATTTATGTGAGATTTACTTCATCTGCATTTTTGTAGTGGGAGAGAGGGAGCCTTGGTGAATACAGATAATAGATGCAAATAAGATTAGAGTTAAAATAAATAAAGTTTCCATCTGAATAAAAAGAAATTCAATTTCACATGATTTGTAATGATTTGATGGAATGTCCAGACACCCCATTCAGGTGCACAATTCAATCTCATCAAACTAATGTTGTTTTCCTTCCTGGAGGAAAGAAAATCTTTCTCTGAGCCTTTCCTCCTCCCTCCCCCCACCTCCCCTTCTTCCGCCTCAGGTTGGAACAACTCACTCCAAAATAGAAAGAATAATGTCAGACAGAAAACTCCTAAGGGAAGATGTGGTTTGAGGCTGGGTGGGCGCAGGGCCCAGGAAAACGTGGGTCTTCTCTCTAATGCGCAGTAAGCTACAGACAAGGAAACGCTCTGAGAGACCGGCTTAAAATGAAGTCATTGCCCCTCACTCGGGCCCTGAAGAAACTTGGGAGGCCCTCCCCTGCACCCCGGCCTCCAGGTCGCAGCCACAGCCCCACATGGGCCTGTAGGTCTCAGCCCGGATCTGGCTTCCGGACTCCGGCCACTGTCTCCCGCTCTTTCCCTGCCCTGGAGCCAAAGCTGCCGGGGGTGACCAGGTGGAAGTGGGGGGCGAGGTGATTCTGGGGGGGGGACCCAGCTCCACCTCAGGTGGGGACCCGGCTCACTCCTCCCAGGCCCGCTCTCTCCACTCTGCTGCGACGCCCGCTTGGGTCACAGGTTCTCTGCGCCCCAGAGACCCTAAAGGGCGGAGGGCCAGCAAGGACCCTGGGGCTGTCTGCGCCTGGAGCTTGCGGCCCGACCTCCGGGCTCAGTCCAGCGGACGCCCGGGCTGGGCCGCCTCCTGCAGTCCCCGGAGCCCGGGTGATGGACGTCCGCTGACCCGCGGGGGCAGAGGCAGCGCGCAGAGGCCTTGATCACTGGGCTGCGGAGCGAGGCGCGCGGGCCAGCGCGACCTGCACCGCCAGACCCTTTGATGTGCATTTATTATCCCGGAGAAACAAAGCTGCCCGAGCCCGACGCCCAGACGCCCTCATCCCTCGGGAGACCCCACCACACCTACACCACCACGTCGCCCGCCCACAGTCCCGCACAGCGTCCACCACCCTCTAGCTAGGGCCTAAAGACTACACGCACTCCTACCAGCTTCTCCAAAAGACCAGACCCCAAGCAGCAGACGAGGGGTGGGTGGCGTCGTTGGGGAGGTCCCAGTTGTGAATAGTTGGAGAAGAGAAAATGGGCAAAGAAAAACTCAGGAAAGCAGCGCGGAGCAGCGAAGGCTGCTGTGTGTGAAAGGCGGAGAGCTGTCACGGAACCTCGCCGAAAAGGCCCCGCTAGGGACCTTCGCCTCCTTCTACCGCTACTAGGCGCTGGGCTTTCCAGAGGAAAGTTTTGTAGGAAAGCATTTTGTTGATTGTTAACGACAAGAATTTAATCTTTCTTCCCTAAATCCAAAAGCTTCATTTACATTTCCAAGACCGGCAGTAACCAAAACAGAAAAGGGGAGGGAGGAGAACCCTTTGGGGCGTATTTTGTTTGTATCTCCTATCGCTTGGGAAGTTTCTTAGGAATATTTTTGTTCTCTAAATAACATGCTTTATTTTATAAATTAACATTTTTCCCCAATTGCGAAATCATCTCGTTTACCAATTTTCTTTCCATCTCTCTCACTCTTCCCCCTCCCTTTTAAACTAAAGCTGTTAAGTTGGTGGTCAGAAGACAAAGAGAGTGAAAATAATTTTCATTTCAATAATTGCCTTCTGGTCAATTTAACTGTGCCTTATTTTGAAAGAGACTGTCTAAATGAGATTCCTGTCCCAAATGTGTTCCCAGGCCTGAGCCCAGCCTTTAATTATTCCTGAGTTTTTTTTCTTCAGAATAAGACGCCGCACTGAGTAATCACAAAGAAGTCAGAGAGCATCCTTGAACCTTTTCAGAAGCAGCGCCACTGATATTCAAATAACCTGCGAGGGCCATTTGACGGCGCGGGGACCTAGGCATTTCCAATTCACTATTTGCATAGATCAGCCGTCTTTGAAAAGGAAAGGAGCAGTTGTCTTCCATAACATTAAAAAGCCTAGTTATCAAATCAAGTGCTTAGTTTGGGGGCCTTTAAAACGTTTACATTTTATCTCAGGTTGCCCTTTACCGTTTGACATGCAAATTTGGTGCAGTTAATTTAGACAATTAAAAAGATCTTCAAGGGAGCTTTGTCACGGAGAATATTTGGAATTTTCCCCATGGACCAGCAGAGATAAAGTTGGCCAGAACAAATGATGTCTAGGAGATTAATTAGATATTTGATAAGACATGAATCCCTAATAAGGGAATACAAGGCACAGGGGGCTGCTGTGTGCTCTAAGTCAAAATTAATAACATTTAACAAGATTTTCATTTGGGCATGAAATGTCTTTTCCGGGGTATTGACTCTAGCGATTTATTCCCCTGAGTCGCCTCCCCCAAGTCGACGGCCTTGGGAACGAACAGTCTTCTTTTTTATAAAAGCCTTTTCTCTTTCACTGATTGTTTTAAAAATCGCTTTTCAAAAACAAACAAACGCACTGGCGTCTTCTCTGACCTGGGTTTGTTCCCTCCGAGGGTAGGATAAAACTGCTAAGAACCTTTTCGGGTTTTTTAGGCGCTCCAGATTTTTTAAATATCACCCCGGAGAGCTCTCCCGGTAAGTAATACCAACTACACAGTCTTATAACCCAATTTAATTTACACTGTTGATATACAAATAAGTAACTTTGATTTCTCAAAAATGTGTGCATATTATGGCTTTTATAACCCACATAAACCTCACATTACCTACAACTAACATCAAGGGATTCGCCCCCCCAAAGAAAAATAGAGTCGACCCACATATGGCTTACTGAAGAAGAATAGGATTTTTTTAAAAAAATGGAAGTGTATTGTTCAGAGTCTTTTAATAATACCAAAATGAAAATATGATGTCAAGATTTTCTTCATACAGATAAACGCATTTAATTTCTTTAGATGACCTTAACTTACGCGTTGTGAGTGAAATGATAACTCAACATTTTAAATATCTTTTACATATATATACTGACTTTCACAAAGTGCATCAGAAAATTAAAAAACCTCCCTGAATTTCAGGAATTCACCAAAAAAACTATTCGAATGAACATTACAAGAAAATAAAAGAGAACACAATCTTTTGAACCCTATTTATACAGATGTTATGAAATACAGAGAAATTCGCTAGACTTCCAGTTTAATTTCTCACCTTAAGCCTTTTTTGATGCTTCCTTTTTTGTTTTTGTTTTTTTTTTTTAGGAAAAAAAGTCTCGTAAGTAGATATCAGGCAGGACTTGGAGCATTTTATATATTATATGATCCACACAAAGAGTCTGTTTTTATGGGTCCCATTTGTTTTCAAATGTTCTGACAGTCCTTGCTGGGTGGTGGCTGTTTCTGAGAAAGGGAAAACAAGGGTGGAGGAAGGGGTGACCGGTGGGGAGGGAGCGTTTCTGTGTATTGCTCTTCGCTTGACAAGTTTGTGAGAGTGGTTTGTAGGTGGGTATGTGCGCGCGCGCGCGCGTGTGAGTGCTTGTGATTGTTGGTCTCCGACGTGTGTTTGTGTGTGCAGTTTTGAAAAGTGTCGTCTGGTGTTGGAGGATGGTTCGCTTTTGTTCTTGGACCACGCAATCGGTTCTCGTCTGGGCGCAGACCGCAGAGGGGAGCTCCTGGGGCGGCCCTGGGGCCACCGTCGGGGAGTCCCGAGCGGCTCCGCTTTGCGCCCAGCCCAGGCCCGGGGCGTCACCGGAGCCCCTGCCAGCCGCTTTCCGCTCGCTCGCCCTCCGAACCTCTCTCTCGCTCTGGTGTCTCTACTCGCTCGCTCGCTCGCTCGCTCTCGGGGCCCTCTCTCGCCGGGCCTCTAAGAGTCGTTGGGGCCAGATGCCGCTTCCTTGCCTCCTGCCGTGGCTGCTGCTGCCGCCGCCGCCGCCGCCGCTGCTGCCGCCGCCGCCGCCGCC